CCGAGGGCAATGCGGACTAAAACTAAAGTAATTAAAATTTTCCCTGAATTAACACAGAAAAATAGTTAAGTAAGTTTCGAAACAAGTGTTATTTACTTGAAGGGTCTCGAGGAAGGGGAGGGGAGGGGACACGGCAAGTTTAGGAAAATAGACAATTCAATGCAGAATTCATGAATGCTTTCTAGACATGTAACAAATAAAAAATTTCATTTGATTTTATCAATTTTCATCCTATGTTTTGAACGTTTTAATTTGACCTACTTCTGTAAACTGTATACATCTTTACATCTTTACAGTACAGTGCACGGTTTACAATGCACATTTCACAGTGTAAAATCGTTCAAATTGTACAGAAAACATGTTGTAGGTTCTGTCTGGCGGCAAAGCAGTCAATGATACTAACAGATATGCAATAGGGAATATATTCACAAAGTTTTAAAAAAATTGTTGGATTTTTCAAACCATAAAGTTTTCTTTTTTGGTGTTTGAGCATAACATTAATAGTAGACTTGTCAATTTTGATATAAAATCTAACCAACCACCCACCATCAAAAATTAACGCTTTCATTTTCAAAAATTTCTCTTATTCTGTTTGAAAATCCATTGTATCCTTTCAATTTTGTTTCTTGTGAAAGAAAATCAATAAAAAATCTTTTCTCTGAAAATTTGAAAAATGTAATAAATCAAGGAAAACGATGGAACAGGGTTCACTTGCTTAAATTTAATATAATTGTATATTACATATCAAAATTATGAAGGTAAACGTAAATAATAAGCGTATCTGTTTTTCATTTTGAAAAATAATCACTTTTTTAAGGAGTGGTATAATTTTACTAAAATTTTGTAGAAATGCAGAAAGTTTTTTAAAGATTTATAATTCTTTAAGATTGCTATGTTGTAGAATAACTTGAATATGTTATGAATGATATAGGAATTTTGAATAACGGAGAGATGCATCTAACCCAGGTATGTATTCTGATCCTATTTTTATCATTTTCCTACATATCAAATATCTTATTTGAATTGACCAAATCCATCAGACCAAGGAATAAAGTAAGACCTATCATACTGCATAGTCTGAGTGATATAAATAAAGTTCAGCCTGGGCATCCCTGAATTTGTTTACGTTTCTCCCAGAAACTGCAGTACATTTTATCTGAGAACATAGCTGGTATATTTCTTTCCCCAGTCGTAATTAATCATCCTCTTAGAAGGGAAGTGGACGTAATTTCTACTCATCCCAAATAGATTATCAAGTACAATAGATGGCAACAGAGAAATGAACCAATTATACACGACGTCACAAGTGTCAAATATAACAAGAAAAATTGAATTTTCTCATATTAGTTGACATGTTTTTCAAGATTAAATCAAAAAGTGTAAAAACAGAAAATAAAGAATACATTTAATTGCCCTTATTTTACTGTAAGATAAGCACTTTATTCTAGAACTTTCACTATTATTTTCACAATTTTGTCGAACACAAAAACTGAATTGACAATTGTGACGTCAGAATACAACTGTACTGAGAGTGTACAAATTCTACGCTGCCATCTTTTGTACTAGAATCTATTTGACTGGATTTTAAGAGATATCATTTTTGAAGAAAACATTATTATTATTTTTGAATTAGAGGGTTATTATATTATTATAAAGATTTATTATCACACAAAGATATACAATACACATACAAATTCAAATGGTGTAGTTTATAGGAATTGAGTCTTTGCCACAAACTCGGATTTTCCCATCCCTATATCTTGTTAACCTGAGGGAAAAAAACCTTTGCTGTTTCAAACTTGGTTTGTTGGTCTTGAAGAATTCATAGTTTGAAATATCTGAGGTCTACGACATTTTGTTGAAAAGATTTAGAGATTAGAAAATCAGAGTTTGTGGCAAAAACTCAATTCCCTTGTTTAGATATTTCGAATATAGTTCTTACAAAAGAAAAAGAATATGCAAAATTATGCACAAATAGGCGACATTGATCATTACTCATTACATAACATATTTAGCATTTCAGTATCACGTAATCATTGAATCCTTCAACATATAAATTATTCATTCTTGTATTTAATAGTTCTTGTATAATCGAAATTTCCCATGCAGGGTACAATGGGACATCAAAATATTTCATTTGTTTCTTAACTTACATTTTACTAAGATCAGATAGATTTACAAAACATCATTTGCAATAGAAAATAAATTTCTGCAAAGAACTGTGTTAAGGCCATTTTTGCATAAATTAGAAAGAAATTTAATGCAACGCTTAAAACTTGCTTCAATAGTCTCATAGAAAGACACACATCTAACATAATGGCTAACATAGTTTTTAAATGTAAACATTGTGAAACACTTTCAATCAAGTACCTATGCGTACATCTAGCTAGGCACATTAAAAATAATTCTAATAGCAGTATTCAATGAGGTATACAATTTTGAAACACATTGGTAACTCAAACTCGTAAGAACTGAATAGTCCGTAAGAACTGAATAGTAAATAGTTCGTAAGAACCTGAATAGTAAATAGTTCGTAAGAACTGAATAGAAAATAGTTCGTAAGAACTGAATTGTTCGTTAGAACTGAATAGTCCGTAAGAACTGAATAGTAAATAGTTCGTAAGAACTGAATAGTAAATAGTTCGTAAGAACTGAATAGAAAATAGTTCGTAAGAACTGAATAGTTCGTTAGAACTGAATAGTTCGTAAGAACTGAATAGTAAATAGTTCGTAAGAACTGAATAGTTCGTTAGAACTGAATAGTTCGTTAGAACTGAATAGTTCGTTAGAACTGAATAGTTCGTAAGAACTGAATAGTAAATAGTTCGTAAGAACTGAATAGTTCGTAAGAACTGAATAGTTCGTAAGAACTGAATAGGTCGTAAGAACTGAATAGTTCGTAAGAACTGAATAGTTCGTAAAAACTGAATAGTCCGTAAGAACTGAATAGTAAATAGTTCGTAAGAACTGAATAGTAAATAGTTCGTAAGAACTGAATAGTAAATAGTTCGTAAGAACTGAATAGTAAATAGTTCGTAAGAACTGAATAGTAAATAGTTCGTAAGAACTGAATNGACTAGTTAGTAAAAGTTGCGTAGTTCGTAAGAACTGAATAGTTCGTATGAACTGAATAGTTCGTATGAACTGAATAGTTAGTAAGAGTTGCGTAGTTCGTAAGAACTGAATAGGTTCATTCCAGACTGCAATATATTTTGCAAAAAATGTAAAACTCTTTGTTGTTTGGATCATCCATCAACAACAAATTATAAATCTAGATATATATGTTAAGGTGAAGGGTGTGCTCTCTGTGAGACCGAACCTGAATTATCTGGATAAATCAGATAAACGTGCTAAGGTTGAAGGTATTAATCCATTAGTATTTCTTATTCATCAAAATTGCAACAGTATTTTAGTTCTCTTGATTGGCTCTATTGTTAACTCTTAAAGGGACTGTAAGCGAAATTTCAAGTGTCCCTGTATCCAAAGATGGATTTCCCATATTTAAAACAGTACTCATAAAATCTTTGTTTGATCAATTATGAAAATGAAAAAGATGATGTTTTGTTTGTTCAAGCTGTTTATTCTACTTTGTTGATTCTCTTCATCCTCTTATTAACCATGTTGAGTAATGCACTCAATATGATAAGTAGAATCTGTGATTGGCGGTCTGGCAATAATGTCGGATGTCCGACGTAATGACAAGAATCTTAGTCCATTGAACTTGATCCTTAAGATAGCAGTTTCATTTTTGTAAATTTTCACGCTTTACATTATCCGCGGAAGGTCTTTACGAATCATAAGCCCACATTAAACTTGAGAATTAGTAACGTCATTTCGAAAGTTGTCATGTGGTAGTAGGACATTCCTAAAAGTCTGATTTGATTTGATTTGATTTGATTTGATTTGATTTGATTTGATTTGATTTGATTTGATTTGATTTGATTTGATTTGATTTGATTGATTTGATTTGATTTGATTTGATTTGATTTGATTTGATTTGATTTGATTTGATTTGATTTGATTTGATTTGATTTGATTTGATTTGATTTGTGCATCAATAGAGAAATTTACAGAGAAGAACATTTTATTCTTAGAAAAACACGACGTTATCTTCCACATGGAGGGTCACTAAATATTGCGTTTACATTCCCTTTAAGCCAGGACAATTCAATCTAACGCTAAACAAAATAATAATATTAATGGCGGGGATTGTTTTCTAGAACATGATTGTTCTAACATGAGAATGTATTAGGATTTTTCCAACCTTCAAAGTGGAATCTAACAAAGCGCTTATCCAAAATCGATTCGCAGCTCAAACATTTTTAAGTCAAAGGCTACAAATCAGTTCTGTTGACGCTGTTGGCTCTGTCATATGATTTTTTTTATAATTTTCTCTGCAAATTGCTGTGAGTAGGGTTGTGAAGAAAACCCTTTTCCTGACATCTTGATATACTTTAGAATTTTAGAATTCTTAAAATTTTATTCTCTAGCGTAAATGATATATTTATTTATTAATATGCATCACTGACCTCTTTGTTTTAATAATTAACGTGTTCTCTTAATTACTTAATTTCTTGAAACCATGTAAATAGAATGACTATAATCAACGTACTTTTACTGATTTTATCTTTTAATTTGAAAAATGCAATTTTCTTTAAATTAAATTGCTTTATTACTAGAGCAATAAGTTAATTATGAATTAACTAAAACTGAAATGAAAAATCTGTTGTTTATTTTAGGCAGCTTAAAAAAATGATTTTTCTTTTTGTTGTTCTTTAAGATTCAATAATTTCTTTTACTTATTTTTCTAAAAAATATTTTTGCTTTAATTATAAAGTCCTCACCAGAAAGACCCGGAATTAATCGACATTTATTCAGAAAACTTGATATATATATATATATATCTCATTTTGTAAAATTAGATTATTACTGTATAGAATTTTTATGTTTTCCAGAAAGAATTGCGCGGAATTAAATGGCTCGCAATTGCGTGCAAGTAAAATCCACTTGCGTTGGAAAATGGAAACCCTACGGGGGAAAGGGGTTATGTACATACTGAGACATATATTGACTGCTCAGGAACTGGTTTAAGTAAAACAAACAACAATTAATAAAACATGCCCGGCCATCTTTACCTGCCGAGGAAAGTCAACAATATTTGTTATTGTTTTTATAAAAATAGTTCCTACAATTAGTCCAAATAGTTAAGAGTGAAATATATCTTTATGTTGAATCTGTTTCTATTTCTAAATTGGTCTCAGTATCAAAGTAACCCTCCACACAGAGAAGTCAATGCTCGATATACAACGATACCCTCAATCGCGTTGGCTGATTAAGTATAAATTAGATATCATTATTATCAATGTTTATGAAAGCCATTTTTTATAATTGTGTTTTCTCTTCACAAGTGGCTTTGCATTTATGTTGCTGGAAAACATAGGAATTAAACACTTATTAATCCTGAACAAAACTACAACCTCTTCCACATTATTGTTCAGATAAAGGGTTCAAAGGTACAGTTGTGAATCGGGCATTGCCATCTTCGCATGAAGGGTCACTTGAAATTACGCTTACAGTCCCTTTAAATATATTTTTTAGGGAGAACTGTAGACCCTGACGATCCTGAAACAGAGAGCAAGGTTGGAAAATATTCTTTTTATGCAGTGGGACCCATTAAACTATGGAGTAGAAAGCCGACTGTAAGACCCTCATAAGAAATAGTCCAATGAAAGTAGAACACAACAATCGTGGACCACGTACAAAGACCCAATTCACTTATAAAGTTGATTTTCTTTGTACAACATCAAATAAGCAAGATTGGTTAAAAGTGGCTCGGAAGCCTAACGGGTGATGTTCCCCCCCCCCCCCTTATAGTGAAGTGTTACGGTTGCGGACGTTTAACACAGATTAAGATACCTAAGCTCTTTGAGTTAAAACAGAGGAACTTAAATGGAGCCTAATCATTAGGGATTAAGGATTGATCGTGATTATTATTATATGAACTTGAATCCAAAACTAAAAAAAAATCATTATTATTATTATTATAGCCTGAAGCTGTGACGGTGAAGTTTAGTAAAGGAGAAAATGATAGATCCTTGAAATGGAAGGAGAAGAGCTATTCAACCATGATAAAGAGAGAGGAAGAGGAACCCTGGATAGATATGAAGTTTAACCAGGTAAACCGAGGCATCACAGACAAACAGATGATTTTCTGTGTAATAAAGGGACTAGACTTTATTTCATTTATAAGTAACCATTAACAGTGGCTTGTATGATAAAACAATGGCACTATTTAAACATAAATGAATGAAGAGTGTTAATTGTCGTTGCTGCAAAAGTCATTTTTACAGAGAAGTTGCAATTAAAATAATTAAATTTTAAGCGAAAAAAAAATATATTTCGCCTATCCTTGATCAGAAAGGTTTATAGGGTTCCGTTTTAAATCGTACATTTTACTCTATAAATGGAGGTTCACTTTTCTACACTTCTGCGACACATTCACAATGTACTAAATTCTTTATGAATATAACATTTAAACCTTGATTACAGCGCCAATAATTTATTTTGTTTCTTTGACACAAAGTGTAACAATATTTCTTTTAAATTATTTGTTTTTGAAGCCACACTGCCCTTTGTCAATTGAAGAAAACAAAGTCGATACGTTTTTTGACACAGATTTAAATCTATAGCGGTCATTTCATTGTTTCATTTCGATATTAATAGAAAGGGTGCATAGTTCACACCAATCCAAATAACTTATTTTGGCGCTTAAAACTTGGTACACAAGACCGGCCGGTACAAGTAAATGCTCACGTATACCTGTCCTAATCATTCAACGATTAGACTAGTATGGGTGGTAAAATTAAAGGGACTGTAATCGTAATTTCAAGTGACCCTTCGTGTACTATTCACATAGTACCTTTAAAAGCTTTGTCAGATTAGGTATGAAATATATATAAATGTTCATAATTTTGAAAAAGAAAAAAAATATTATTTCCAATTTTCGTTTTTCCAGAAAAATAACTTTATCATTTCTACTGCAGAAAAATATATAAGAATTATCAGAATTACACCTTATTAAACATAGAAAAGCGACAAAAGATAAAGGTTTCAACAGAACCGTTTTAAATTGGACATTGTCATTTTTGTATGGAGTATCACTTGAAATTACGATTTCAATCCCTTAAAGAAATTAAATTATTTTCTAACATATCATTTATTTATTTAGGTGCGGAGTCGGAGATGGGACGATGAAAGCCAGAACTTGTTCTGTGAGAAGATGGAGGAAAATATAGACCTTGATCTACCTTCAAACCAATATTTAAACAAGTTCAAATAAAGTCGAAGAGGAGTGAATTAATCTTCAACATTTTTATACCATTTATATACATGAGATTTCGTGCAGAATTATTTATATTTTCAGAAAATCTTGTCATAAATGCCGGGATGGCAGAGTTCAGAGCACAGGTCTATACTTGTGAACTCTGTGGTGAGGATGGATTTAAAGAGGAGGATCTAAGGTTTTTAAAAAATGGTGTTAAAAAATATTTTTTTTATTGCTTACTTATTTAGGTCACATATGGTGATTGCTCATGTAGAGGGTAGTCCATCTTGTCCTTTCTGTGATATAAATCTTACTCCTAGTCAACTTCAGGTAATTGAAACTCTTTCTTTATCTTTATAGGAGACACTAATTTCTCAAATATCCTTTCCCTGCAGGGGGAGGGGGTTAATTTCAAGAACTGTCAGGAGGTGTTGAAAATATTTATATTTTTCAACACTTTGCAACTAAAGTGATTAGAATAAAAATATTCAATTAGATATTTCCTGAGTGAGGACAGGTTTTCTATTCTAGATACACGTGAACTCTGATCACCTTGACTTCCTAACCCCTGAGAGTGAGGATGGTCACTACCTGGAGAATGTTTCTGAGTTTGGTTCTCTGTGGGACCTGGAGAAATCAGCTGAGAGAGGATTAACTGCAGGAACCATCTCATTCCCTTAGTCGTAGCTTATCATTAGATTATTATTTTATTTTCTCATTTTAAAGGGGTTGTTGTAACTTCAAGTGGCCCTCAATTTACCAAGGGGTGTGTTAGATCCACAACGGTACCCTTTAAACCTTCATCTTATCAATAAAGATATTGTCTGTAAAGTATTAAATTCTGACATTTTCTGCAAGTAGAAACTTGCAAGTGACTTTTATAGAAAACCACCATTGAGAATTAACAGTTCTTAAAAAGAAAAACATACCTCTTGATTTTTTAACGGACAAAGCTTTTAAGGTACCGTTGTAAATCGGACATGTCGCTTTATGAATAGCGTCACTTTAAAGTTCGTATCTGTCCATTGAAGATCTTCCTGTATTTTTTTTATCTATGTTCAAAATAAAAGAGAAATCTTTAATAATAAATAACGTTTTGTTTTATCCGTTTCTTTTCATTTCCTCGGTTACTCTTTTAATTTAGAAGATGTTCCGAAGATTTCTCGATACATATATTTACAATGCAGAACTCTGCAGGACATCGGAAACCAAAGGATTTAAAATATATTTCAAACCTATTTTCTTCCCTGCAAAAGCAGGTATTAAATTAAAACCTTAAATTTCTCTTCTAAAAGAATTCATTTCCAACAAATTTAGATTCTGGAGCAATATTTATCAGATGTAGGTGGATAAAGTCAACTTTCAATGTACTTTCTATTCTACTTTTTTTCTCCAAATGAGTTTCGATTATTCAGATGGTTTGGGTTGTTCTCCGGGTACCCCTGGAAACCCATTTATTGAGAGTGATGACGAATCTGATACAGAGGATGATACAACCATTGTCTCTGCCGTAGAGAAACCTTACAAACCTTCTCTGAGTATAAGTTCAAACCATATCTCCGTATCTCCAACCTTATCCTGTGCACCCTCTGGAACAAAAAGATTGAAAAGTGAGGAAGTGAAGTTAGATAAATCAAACCTAAGTCTACCTCTCCGCCGGCAAACAGGTGGCTGTAGCTCAATATCTCGTGTTAACACTGCCCAACCCACTTCTGCTCCTAGTCCTGAGGTTCTACCCTGTCCTATGTGTCCATTTACAGACTCAGATCCAGGTCGTCTAGAGGAACATGTTAACAGGGAACACCTGGACAAGCTTTCTCCTGCTGTACAGGTAGACAGGACAGGACAGGACAGGACAGGACAGGACAGGAGAGGACAGGACAGGACAGGACAGGACAGGACAGGACATAGACTATTGTATATATCCAGCTGTAACGATTCCGTTGAACCAAAACCTTAATTTTTCGAGAGAAATAAAGGTAAAAAAAAATTAGTATAAAACGTCTCACAGTGTGAATTTATGTTTTAAATGATCGAAATAACATCTTAGTAATTCTTTGTAAACGCTCAATTTTGCTACTTTTTAGTTTATATCACAACTAGCTGAAAAGCTCGGCGTTGCCAGTGGAATTTTTTTTAAATTTTCGATTTTTTTTAGCTTATAACAACCTCCGGCTACCCATGAATGTCCACAAAAAATTCAGCCCATTCGGTCCAGCCGTTTGGTCGGCTATACGCAACATATATGTGAATGTCTTGTTTTATTATATAGAATAGCTGAGTACCATTTAGGCTGAGAGACATCAATGCCCTCTCTGTAGTTCAAGTTTCCTAACTCCGGGTGCATTGGAGACACACTTCTCCTCACTACACACTGATCTTTCTCCGGTAGGATACTGAACCTTCACATTCAAACAGAATTTCCTTACTTTGAACTTTAAGCTCAACTTTTATAAATTAAACTGTCAATATTCAATGCTTGAATCGTCTATATCTGAAAATATTAAAATAATCAAGATTTTTGTGTTAAAAATCCGTCAGCATTTGTTTGATGGCCTGTGGGTTCTTGAATTACCATAAATTCTTTATTTAAGGTAAAGAGCAAAGTTACGGATCCTAACGGAAACTATACCTGTCCTGTTTGCGGAGAAACAAGCTGGAACTCCAAGCTTCTCCAGGTACCCACGCAAACCCGATTGTACGTTGACATCTAACCCCACCAGAAATCCACCATCTGTTTGCAGAAAAATCTGCAATAGTGTCCTAAAGATTGCGAAAGCATTGAACAATGAAAATCTTTAAAAAGATGTTAATAAATTCTCCATACATAAAGATGACCCCAAAGAAGTTTTATTGACGTTCGAAATTGATAATTTGTGGCTCCAACAAATTTTGATAAAAATCCCCCAATAAAATCATAAATCCGTGAACTTTTTCATTTTTATCAACCTAGAGTGTACGAAAAATAAGTCAGAAACAAAAAAGATTATTACCGGAAGTGTCGCCTAACCCTAGTATATATTTTTGTTCTTGTCATTTAGTTGGTTTGCATTGGTTCAAGGGAAGATTATGGTCGTTCAGAGTTTTAGGATGGGGCTGCAAAAAAGATTTATTTACATTTTTATTAAAATTCACAAGTTAGAACCGAAAAATCTGCACAAAAAAATATTAATGGGCGTTGTTTTATTATGTACGGAGATAAATGGTTTCCGTTAATGCATTAAAAGGCTTGAAAGAGTAGCACAACGTGCACTAGAAATATAATTTAGTAAAAATCCAAATCTTTCTTGTCACTTTACTGCCTGCTAACTTGAAGTTTAAAGAATTTAAGTGGTTTGATAATATTAAAATGGTTTACGGAGAAACTTTGTAATAGTTTTAAACAATTTCCCCAGTTTAAAATAAAATAATTTGAATAGATAAATACTGAATATATTTTGCTAGGTCCATGTTGACGCACATTTCTCTAGTCCTGGACCCAGTAAACCTTCTCAGGTAAATATATTTCTCTAGTCCTGGACCCAGTAAACCTTCTCAGGTAAACATATTTCTCTAGTTCTGGACCGAGTAAACCTTCTCAGGTAAATATATTTCTCTAGTTCTGGACCCAGTAAACCTTCTCAGGTAAATATATTTCTCTAGTCCTGGACCCAGTAAACCTTCTCAGGTAAATATATTTCTCTAGTCCTGGTGGACCCAGTAAACCCTCTCAGGTAAATATATTTTTCTAGTCCTGGTGGACCCAGTAAACCTTCTCAGGTTAATATATTTCTCTAGTCCTGGTGGACCCAGTAAACCTTCTCAGGTAAATATATGTATATAAAGTAGTAATCTCTGTTTGTTTGTTTGTATATCCGATGAAAACTGAGGAACCCCTTTACCAATATGAATCAAATTTTGTAGAACCAAGAGGATCTTCCCAGTTTAGGTTAAAAATTCTAAGTTGAGTAGTATGATTTTCATAGCTTAATTTCAATTATCAGGCAAAGCTGGGAACCCGAGCTAGTGCTTAATAAAACAAGGGAAATGTGGACAATGGTATCAGTCCAGGTTTAGATAAAGTAAAGTGGGTGGATACATGAAAACAATCTCTATCCCGCCAACCTTAAATCCATTAAACGGTTACACGGTTATAAATATGAATAAAGCAACTGTGGTTTGCAAAATTTGACTTTGTAAGCCAACTACCTCTACCATTGCAAACTAATTTAATTTACCGACATTTTAAATATCTTTAGACTTGTAATAGAAAAAGTACTGCGTAGTGCTTGTTGTTACGTTGCTTTATGTTGAAACTAATCTGAAAAAGTTATATTTAAATATTTAATTTCTAGGACCCAATATCTGACCAAATACTGGCTGAGGAACTGGATAGAAGAGAGAAAGCAAGACAAAAATATAAAGAAGAAAAAGAATTTCAAAATCTTAGGGTAAGAACTTTCAGTAGTATTAAGTTTATATTGTTCTTAAATGAATTCTATCGGTAGGACAAAATTATCGTTTTTTAAAATCAAATTCTCACAATTTCTTCCATTGTCTCTACAGCTTGCATTTATTATCCGCAAAAAAATATTAATAGTTTCAGAGAAACCACATGGAATTTAATCATTTTAAATCTTTCTCTTTCATTTCTATGTTTAACTATAGTTTTTGTACTTTGTAGGCTCAGTATGGGATGTTTATCTATAGTTTTTGTACTTTGTAGGCTCAGTATGGGATGTTTATCTATAGTTGTTGTACTTTGTAGGCTCAGTATGGGATGTTTATCTATAGTTGTTGTACTTTGTAGGCTCAGTATGGGATGTTCATCTATAGTTGTTGCACTTTGTAGGCTCAGTATGGGATGTTCATCTATAGTTGTTGTACTTTGTAGGCTCAGTATGGGATGTTTATTTATAGTTGTTGTACTTTGTAGGCTCAGTATGGGATGTTTATTTATAGTTGTTGTACTTGTAGGCTCAGTATGGGATGTTTATCTATAGTTGTTGTACTTTGTAGGCTCAGTATGGGATGTTTATCTATAGTTGTTGTACAGGCTCAGTATGGGATGTTTATCTATAGTTGTTGTACTTTGTAGGCTCAGTATGGGATGTTTATCTATAGTTGTTGTACTTTGTAGGCTCAGTATGGGATGTTTATTTATAGTTGTTGTACTTTGTAGGCTCAGTATGTGATGTTTATCTATAGTTGTTGTACTTTGTAGGCTCAGTATGGGATGTTTATTTATAGTTGTTGTACTTGTAGGCTCAGTATGGGATGTTTATCTATAGTTGTTGTACTTGTAGGCTCAGTATGGGATGGATAACGACGGTAATTTCCGCGAGCAGAGCGAGGCGTGTATGATGAAAGCTGTGTCTAAAGGAGAACTCTCGGTTAAGGATTTCTATGAGAAGAAAGCAGATATTGCTGCTAGTGTCAGGTTCTATAGATTTCCATTATATCAGTCATCTGCAGATTATAGACCTTTATTAGGATTGTGCAAAATTTGTGAACTTCATTTTTACCGGTTTTAAATATGGTTTTATGTCCAGTTATTGATCAAGGATACTAAAACTTATTTTTACTCAAGCACAGAAAATCCCTTTTTAAAAACTTATCAAATATTCAACGGAATATTTTTTTACTTTTTACATATCACTTCCGTAAAATATTTTTTTAAAGGTCCGGAGTAGATGATGGCTCTAGTGTTACACATGGAATATCAGAAATTATACATCCTCTCTCCACCAGGTTGGTTTAATACTCTCTTCACCAGGTTGGTTTAATACTCTCTCCACCAGGTTGGTTTAAAACTCTCTCCACCAGGTTGGTTTAATCCTCTCACCAGGTTGGTTTAATACTCTCTCCACCAGGTTGGTTAAATACTCTCTTCACCAGGTTGGTTTAAAACTCTCTCCACCAGGTTGGTTTAATCCTCTCTTCACCAGGTTGGTTTAATACTCTCTCCACCAGGTTGGTTTAATCCTCTCTTCACCAGGTTGGTTTAATACTCTCTCCACCAGGTTGGTTTAATACTCTTTCCACCAGGTTGGTTTAATACTCTCTCCACCAGGTTGGTTTAATACTCTCTCCACCAGGTTGGTTTAATACTCTCTTAACCAGGTTGGTTTAATACTCTCTCTTCCAGGTTGGTTTAATACTCTCTCCACCAGGTTGGTTCAATACTCTCTCCACCAGGTTGATTTAATCCTCTCTCCACCAGGTTAGTTTAATCCTCTCTTCACCAGGTTCGTTCAATTCTCTCTCCACCAGGTTGATTTAATTCTCTCTCCACCAGGTTGTTTTAATCCTCTCCACCAGGTTGGTTTAATCCTCTCTCCACCAGGTTGGTTTATTTCTCTCTCCGCCAGGTTGGTTTAATTCCCTCTTCACCAGGCTGGTTTAATTCTCTCTCCACCAGGTTGGTTAAGTACTCTTAAACTAGCCATACCTAATTGAATTACTATCAATTTTTAAGAAATTTTCTCTCAGGTTTTCCTTTCAATGTTTTTGCTTTGTTTATCTAATTTTCAATCTAACGATTTTCCTGTTGAACAGGAGTATCGGAGTAAGGTTGAGTTGTGTATCTGGAAGGATGGATCACTATTCATCAACATACGGAGATAAGGGTTGGGGTTGCGGATTCAGGTAAACCCGGAGAAGAAAGATTTAAAATGCAATCCTAAATCCCCGGCCGCAACGATCCTCCGCTATATAACTCAGCTTCTTAAAAACTACAGGTTTTTACATTTAATAAAGAATTTTTATATTTTTTTCTACAAGGTGGCATAAAAAAATGTAAACAATTCCTTATTGCATGTAAAAACCAAGAGTTTTAGGGAACCTGTGCTATATAGCTGAGGCTCATTTACTGAATAGTGGATGCTCTTACTGCATAGCAAATCTGGGAGGCTCGTTTCTGCATAGCGGAGGCTCATGGCGCCCGGGGGTTTCCTCCTTCTGTTGATAGGGTCAACATTTATCTTGCTTTTTCATCGTTAAAATTTTGAATTTTTAAATTAATCTTTTAATGATCTTTTCTTCGGCTAGAAATCTGCAGATGCTTCTCTCACATCTACTAAACTCTACAGAGTACCGTGGAGTCCTACTGGAAAATCTCTCCGGAAATCGGAACCTAGTTTCGCAGAATATCTCACTCAACCGGAATCTTGTGGACAGGGTCGGGATGCCGTCAATCCCTAGACTCCAGGAGATATTAGAGCAGGCTTGGCGTGCAGGGTTTGACCGGGCCGGCTGTGAGCAGCTGGGTGGAAAGATTGTGAACACTAGGTATGCAAGTTGAAATTCTTGAAATGCTGAACTTATGCTTGTTTAAGTCTCTAGAAATCCTAAAATTCTGATTTGATTTATTTCAATTCGTCACTGAAAAGTACCCGAAGTTTTTAGTTAAATTTAAACTACAAAGGAACTAAGTCTTTGCCACAAACTCTGTTTTTATAATCCCTATATCTTTGCAATCCAATGTAGTAGACTTAGATATTTCAAACTATGAATCCTGTACGACTAAATTATCTAACATTGAATTTTAAAATGTTTACACAGTTAGGTTGCAAAGATATAAGGATGATCAAATTAGAGTTTGTGGCAAAGACTCAATTTCTTTGACATTCTTCAATTTGAAATGAAAACATATATATCAGACATAATGTAAAATTTACTTTTGTAATATGCTTCCACTAAAAAATTAAAATTTCATAAAATTCTCGCTTTGATTAATTATTCATCAATCTATTTATTTGAAGTATAATTACTTGTCATGAATTTTCACGAGGTACGAATAAGTTATAAAGGCTGGTTATTAAGCTGAATTATAATGCGAAATGTATTTTTATGATGATTGTAATTTGAAATTCATTTTTATTTTCTTCGTTGTACTTTCTTCTATGAAGTCGTATACATATTACCGTCACTTTGACAAATATGGTTGGTTCAATGTTTCAAGGTTTAAGCCGGCGCTCAATTGAAACCGGTTTTTGGCGGATTTGAGACGCGGCTCAAATTCATTAAATTTGGACTCTGTCCTTCTTTTAGATAGGATCGTTAATCGTTTTGGATCGTCTATTTTAGAGTTAATAAAAAAAATTAAGATTTCAAAACTGAAATGTTAAAGTTTCTTTTATTTAACTTTATCTTAAAAAAATATTGATTAAACGATTCAAAAACAATCGTTAAATCAAGTTCGGTTTTCCAGCGTTTTTGTATTATTTTTGCATATATCTTCTGTCAGCGTCAAAATTTGACATGATAATGTTAAGAATAAACAATTCTGAAAAATATTTTCTCGTCTTCTACAATGCCAAACTTTGACCCTGGAAGATAAAAATTAAAAACGATACAAAACGAACCAACTGAAGGCATGTTACTACTTTTAGGAAATGGATCGGAGCTACAGAAATATATACAATCCTCACATACTGTGGGATAGAGGCAGAACTGATAGATTTCCATAAACCTAGTGGAGAACAGGGTACTCATCCTCAGCTGGTTAACTGGGTCAACACATACTATACTCAGGGGTCCGCTAAACCTCCCCTGTATCTTCAGCATCAGGTGTGAAACAGAATATTCATTAATTATCGAACTATAAGAGTTCTACCAAAATGATTGTATTTTAAAATATGTAGAGCTTTAAAGAACCTCAACAGAATTAATCAATAAAATATTTTATGAAACTTGAAGTTAATTTAGCTGTAATAGCACGTGAGCTTTAAAGTTTTGATTGGTTCCCGGATTTTCTCAAAAAATTTAGGATATTTCCAAAATATTTTTTTTAATTGAAAAAAAAAACTAAAATTGAAATCAACTTTATATATTGACTTCTGCTTTGTTTCAAATTTAGCCATTGAAATAAGATAAGTTTAACCACTGAAATAAGATAAGTACAGAAACGTTTCATAAATTTACCTATAACTATTATTTTGGCATGACGTGCTATAAAGTTTTTGGACTCAAATTTTCTCTATATCTTGAAGGTTCTCGCCTTCTCGATAAAGAGAAAATTTCTGTCCAAAAACTTTATAACACTGCGAACCAAAATAACAGTGTTATAAATAATTATTGTAACCCTACTTCTTTTTATGATGAGTTGTTTCTTTTCTCACTCTTGATAGCTAGGATATGAAATCAATTAATAGAAATATTTGTGAAAGAGAATTTATACCTGATAAGTAGAACACAGATTATTTTTCAATTTTATTGCTGTACAAACTGTTTCGTGTTTTTAACACTCCTCTACAGCATGAGTTAGATTAATATGAATTTAGGTATTTAGCCAATCTTTTAAGTAATTCACATAAATCTAATCTGGGATTGGAAACTAGAGAATTCTTAGAATTTAATATATTCGAAAAACCATTTAATATGTTTAGGGACACAGTAGAACTATATGTGGTATTGAGAGAACTGTATCCGGGTTAACTAAACTCCTAGTCCTAGATCCTAGTCATACTTCTAGAGCACTACTAGAGAATCCTCTCAGGATGGTTCGGAAATCCCTGGTTCACCTGAAGAGTGCTCAGTACCAGGTCAGATACAGACGGGAGAGGGGCTGTAAATGATTTTTGTATGAATTGGGTGGGGGGGGGGTTGAAAATTTTATATTAAAAAAGGCAAGGTTTTTTATCCTTTTTGATACTTTCCCCTTTTAAAATCCCCCAATTCAGAGCAAAAATTTCTTTTAAAAATAATGTTGTGCTCCGCGCAAACATCCTTTTAAGCAAAATTATCCCCCATATCCACGATCAATCGAAAGGAGGGGGGAGGGTCATAAATCATGAATCATTCCTATCGTTACAGTGCGAGGACGGAAGAGAAAATATATAACTTTTATTTACAGATCGTAAAAGTGTGTGGGACACTTAGCAAATTAGAGAAAGAAGAGAGAAGAAACAAACCCGTCTCATCAATCCGGATTCCATAGAGAACATTAGAGGAGATTCAACCCCATCTCATCTATCAAGATTCCATAGAGAACATAAAGAGGAGATTCAACCCCGTCTCATCTATCATGATTCCATAGAGAACATATAGAGGAGATTCAACCCCGTCTTATCTATCAGGATTCCAATAGAGAACATTAGAGGAGATACAACCCCGTCTTATCTATCAGGATTCCATAGAGAACTTAAATAGGAGATACAACCCCGTCTCATCTTTCAGGATTCCATAGAGAACATATAGAGGAGATACAACCTTGTCTCATTAATCAGGATTCCATAGAGAACATTTAGAGGAGATACAACCCCATCTCATAAATCAGGATTCCAAAGAGAACATATAGGGTAGTTACAACCCCGTCTCAACTATCAGGATTCCATAGAGAACATATAGAGGAGATACAACCCCGTCTCATCTATCAGGATTCCATAGAGAACATATTAACATTAAACATGCTTTCTCCATGGACCAGAAACGCAGAAGATTTCTCAAAATTTCAAAGACAGGAGAAGATGTCTTTTATGAACGACAAAAGAGAAGAAACCCATATTTCAATTTTTCGTTTCAGATCAGATCAGATTTGCTCGAAAAGATCATTCCAAAGAAACTTTAAGGGGATGCCCTAAAAGGGGCAAAAGGTACATTAGTAAAAGATCTGAAGTCGACTTGTTCTCGATACATGGATTGTACTCACAATCTTATGCTACTTTTCTTTTAAATCCAACTTTTCAAACCACCCATTTAAGTATTTTGTAAACCAAAGGGCATTTAAAGACTTAAGTTAAATTTTATTTAAACAATCGAATTTATATTTTTTAATAATCATATGTAAATCATAAATATCATAGTATCCTTTACAATTTACTATTTAAACAGACTGAGGATTCAATTTTTCACAAATTGAATCCTACCGCGTCTGATAATCAGTTTATCATCGCTGGTATGAGTCTGGAACTTTAGAGAACAATTATCAACCAAACTAAGGTTTCTAGATTTTTAAAAATTTCAGACTCTGGTTCACATTCACACCTATAGTATTAATAGCTATGCGTTTGGTAAAAAACGTTGAATTTTTTTATCATACACTTACATTTATTTGTTCAAAATCACGGTTTTTTAGGTAACTTTTGTCATCATTAACGCTAGTAATATTATACATAAGGTTGTATCGGTACATATCTGCAGGACAAAGTACTGACCCCAGCACTGCAGGACGGAATATAATGTTTTCAATCAGATTTATAAATTTAGACAATCTTGGAGAAATAAAGATCAACTTTGATATTTATAAATAGTCTAATTTATTGTTAAATCTAACCTAGTCCTATTAAAATATTGAAAGTTTTTACTAAAATAATTAATTTTATCTTTGACACCCTTTATCCACGCCCTTGTACCTAACTCCTTCATCTCACTGTGATATTTGCTCAATTTATTGTTAAAATATTTCTCTAGTTTATCATGAGTTCTTGCATTATTTCAGATTAAAGAATGGTTGAAGAATTGTGGGGTGAAATACCGGTAAGGTTGGGTATATCACAAGCTGAACGGGAAGCTATAACAACCCTACAACAGGTAGGAGAGGGGGGGGGGAGGGGGAACTCAGAAATCATCCAAATAAGTCCCGAGCTCAAAACTTTTGTGCAAGATAGGACTTCTGTTCAACGCTTTTATCTCGTTAACCACTGCGGAAACTTAGAACTTTGAGGGATAAGTATCCCTACATATTTGTTTACTCAATTTTAGAGTACTCAATTGTGAGAGCCTTAGACATGTACATTTTTAACTGCCAGCCTCTGTTTAATAGGAGTAATTGGCAACATTTCCTTATGATTTTTTCACGAGAGTTTACAAATATATTGGTTTAGTGACCATGGGATATCCTTTAATCCTTTTGACAACAAAAGATGTAGATAACTGCTTGTACTATGGACCTAATAATTAAAAAGTTTTAACCTTTAACAAAAAAATATTTAGATATTTAAAGAAGAAATTTTTTGTACTAGTATTCATACTTTGAACTGGTTGAAATTTTTAAAAATGTCTACGTGTTTTTAAATTCCCTTTTCGCTCGAATCATAATTGATGAGTAAAATGTCTAGCTTTGGTTAAATGTTAAAGTACTATTGTGCTGTGTGCATTTTTAAGATTTTAATGCCTGCTCTGCTCGGGCCAAAAAGTTATTTATTTTATGATCTCAAATCCTCGACTCTGGTTCTAAATATATCGAAACTAATCCTTTTTCTTGTTTAACATAAAAAATATTAAAAATCTTTCTTTTCACAGAATTCTCCCAAGGGTGTAAAATATGTATATTTTCTCGAAAAATAAGTCACCCCTCCCCTTTTGAAATTTGTATTCTCTGAATTAGGGGAAATTAATGATTTTTATGGATAAATAAATTATTTTTGGGGAAAAGTATAAAAAATATGAAAACAACTTGCCTTTTAATGTCAAATTTTTTATTAACTAGGCTTTTAGGGCGCCCATCTTCTATTTCAACTTTTAATTGTGGCTTTATCTCTGAATTTCTTCTCTTTGTACAGTATAAAACAAAAACAAAAAAAGTTTGCGGATTTCATAATATTTTTTGCGCAATTTCAAAATTTTTCAAAATTAAAAAACTTTTAAGCACTAAAATTTTGATCATTCATAAACCTTCCCTGGGGTCCCTAGATGTCCCACAAAAAATTTGGGCCCGATCGGTTCAGCCGTTTTGACGTTTATTGGATACAAACAGACAGACAGACAGACAAACAGACAGACACGCCAAATTTATATATAGATTAAACACACCTGAAACCTCTAGTTGCGCCTGTCTAGAGTGAAGACTGTTTCTAGGTTCCGCTCCTAGAAGGACCTAAACTATTCCAACCTCAACCTGGAGATCCAAGAATTAAAACTGAGCCAAGAATTGATGATATACTAGGAACCTTAATATTCATAAAACTACTTTCTCTTAAGCTGCAATAATCTGGACTAAATGTGAGTTATACTCCCCGAAGAATTCCTGTATACGCCCTTGTGATCAATGTATTCCTGTTTACGCCCTTGTGTTCAATTTATTCCTGTATACGCCCTTGTGTTCAATGTTTATTTTATATCTTTGATTTTTGAAAAGTAACGAATATGACGGTGTTGCGTAGTTACTAAGAATATTGAACTACTCCGCTACCGCCGTCAGATTACCCGCCTTCTAGAAACCCTGGAGCAACAAAAGGCGGCGGTTAGTTCTGGAGAAACAGGAGATTTACCGCCGTTACTTCAACCCCCGCCGCTTCCAGCTCCAGCTGAATTCACTAGATCTGCTAAAACCTCCATTTTTGGATTCCCTATGAAAGAGGAGAAAGTGCTCTATTCAACAGGTTCCAATTTGTCTAAGAATTATTTCGAAACCGAAATTCTTTTAATCTGAGAGTTTTTTTTTAATCTATGAAAATAGTTTTCTTATTTTAGAAATCCCTGAGATAACTAGGAAAGATGCAGAGCTGGGATTAAAACAGGCGGTAATCAAGATCAGGTTTGTCACAACCAAATATGTTTTATTCCTGTAAACCCCCCCCCCCCCCTCCGCTCTTCTCATTCTCCTTGAGAACTTTTATAGTTCCCTTTTTTCTCAAATTCTTCTTCAGAACTAAATATTTAAAAAAGTCGAACATTAATGTAAAATACTAGACAAATTATAGTTTATTTATATTTTCCTTCCAAAAATAAGGTATTATCGACATTTTGCAAAAAAATACTTCCTCTTAGTGCGTGTAAAATAAGTTTGAAAAACGTAAAAAACTATACAAAATATCTTCTAACTATTTGTCAACTCCTATTTACTTATTTTGAAAGAATATTAGAAATTTATAGTTTAAGCTTTTATAAAGCTCTTTCATTTTCAGTGCCCATGTTGGTTACCAGACTGCTCTAGACTCAGGAGTTCGTCTTCTAACAGAATCTACTCAGCTCTTTATGGAGAGAATGTTACACAACCTTAGAATAGAATTGGACAGAAGCTTGGAGAACAACATGGAGAATATGGGATGGACGGATATACTAGAGAAGGTTAGAGTTACATTATTCTTTTATATTTAGGTTCGTATAGGTAGGGAGCTGGAGGTATTTAGTTTATAGTAGGTAGTGGAGCTGGAGGTATTTAGTTTATAGTAGGTAGTGGAGCTGGAGGTATTTAGTTTATAGTAGGTAGTGGAGCTGGAGGTATCTAGTTAATAGTAGGTAGTAGAGCTGGAAGTATCTAGTTTATAGTAGGTAGTGGAGCTGGAGGTATTTAGTTTATAGTAGGTAGTGGAGCTGGAGGTATTTAGTTTGTAGGTAGTGGAGCTGGAGGTATCTAGTTAATAGTAGGTAGTAGAGCTGGAAGTATCTAGTTTATAGTAGGTAGTGGAGCTGGAGGTATCTAGTTTATAGTAGGTAGTGGAGCTGGAAGTATCTAGGTTCGTGTAGGTATTGGAGCTGGAAGTATACTGAGTATACAGGACTATTATCTAGGTTCTAGTAAGTAGTGGAGCTGGAAGTATACAGGACTATTATCTAGGTTCTAGTAGGTAATGGAGCTGGAAGTATACTGAGTATACAGGACTATTATCTAGGTTCTAGTAAGTAGTGGAGCTGGAAGTATACTGAGTATACAGGACTATTATCTAGGTTCTAGTAAGTAGTGGAGCTGGAAGTATACTGAGTATACAGGACTATTATCTAGGTTCTAGTAGGTAGTGGAGCTGGAAGTATACTGAGTATACAGGACTATTATGAAGATTCAATAATTAAATTCAACAACAAACTTCTACTACAGTGCAAGTAAGATTTATAAATATTTTTTCATTTCAAGAATATAGATACAGGGTTACGCACAAAGGATGACACTTCATAAAACTCTCTAAAATAAGCATTTTATTTTCCTGAATTTGTCTAATGTAATGAAAGAAGCTTAGCCCCGATTTCATTGGAATTATCATATGCTTCATCATATTTATCATGATCAAAATCCTCAAGAAATCTATATAAATACTTTGCTTGTCTATCTGTTTGTTTGTATCCAATAAACGTCAAAACGGCTACCAGATCGGGCCCTTTGTTGTGGGACCTCGCGTGACCCCAGGGAAGCTTTATCAATGATCGAATTTTTTTTTAAAAAAGCTTCAAACAAAATTCGATTTTTAAAAATCTTAAAAATCCACGAAATTTTACTTATAAAATCCGCGAATTTTTTTTTTACAATGCATATAATGTTCACAATTGAAATTGAAGATGGGCGCGAAGCGCCCTAAAAGCCTATTAAGATGATATAGGAATATTATATTATTATTTTTATTATTTTTTATTTTGCCCATGGAGACCAAGTCTCTGTCTATAGCGTCCGGACCAATCGCGGGATAACGTCGACTTAAATTTAGATCTTCTTTTTCCTATAGGGCTTTAAGAGACAAGTACTGCTCGTCCATACCTTCAGATATCCGTAGTTGGTCTATACAAGGAATACAAGAAGATGATGATATTCCTCAACTACATTTCCCAAGCAGTGAGGAAGGAGCAGGTCACCTTTTTGTACTTAATTTCAATGAGTTCAACATTTTTGTGTTTTGTTAATCCCGTGATTAAGTTGTTATCTTTATCTTGTCATACGGATTAAATTAATTCTTCTTAAATATCCTATGGCGATAGTAGTAAAGAATGAGGGATTAAGCACTTCAAATTAAAATTAAAAGTAATCACAGTGGAAATCAAGATCAAGTCCTATAGATTATCGATATTTCATACAAAAGTTTAGGCCTCTGATCTTAAAATATAGTGTTATCACCAATTCAAAAAACAATCGTTAAAACCTCTAACCTCTATTCTTTGTTTATATTCGAAATTTGAGAACCCACCTTTTTTAGAAAGCGACTGTCCTGATTTTCAAAACTAACAATAGTGGAAAATGCCAGTCATATTTTTATAGAAAACTACGTTTTTTTATGATATAATTATTTAATATTTTAATTAGATTTTTTGTACTTATTATAAAAGAGTTGTGTTCAGGTATGGGAGAAACCTCAATGGATCACACAACTCCAAACCTTGATGTTGGTATGCAGATGCTCCAGTCCCTGGAGGCTAGTGGAGACCTAGATACTCCTAGATCAGCGGACAGCGAGGCATTAAGTAACATGTCTTGTACTACTCCTAGTCCTGCATTTACTCCTAGAACCCTGTCCTCTAGTCCACAGTTTAACAGTGCTAAGAAAAGGAGGAGGAGCGGGGGAAAGTATATCTAATCTTTAAATATATCTCACAATAACCTTAAATCAGTTTTCATACAGTTAAAAAAACAGTTTACAAGATCTATTGAACAGTATACTGTATCCTGTACCTGTACTGCAAGAAGTGAAAAGTTCCAAACCTTGATTTGGCCTAAACCTGACACTGGAAAATAAACACGGTTTGGATCTTGCGTTCTCTGTACTGTCTACAGTACAACGCATATTAAAATTGCATTTTAATCTCTCACTTGTTGTTTAATGATGAATACCAGATTATTTGAATTTTTACTTTTTTATGTTAAAGTTTGGAGAGAAATCAATTATTATGGATCACCCTTTATATCATGATAATTGTTTCAGATATCTAGAAGGAAAAGGTTAAGATGGATATTATCCGGAAGATTGAGGATATCGAGGCGGAGATGGCGAAGACCCAGAAGAACAAGGCAACAGCTGGTCATCTTGGTATGCTCAAGGCTAAGCTTGCCAAGCTCAGGCGAGAGTTGATCACGCCGAAATCTCAGGTTAGTTAGAGGACCATCACTTGTATTTCTTGACAAAATTAATGATTATGAAAGGCCGGGATTTAAAAGAATTTTAGGTACTTTCCTAAAGTCATTTTCCCAAGGGTATTTTAACAAGTAGCAACTTCCTAAGTCTGTCGTCCTAGCCGTAGCGCTGGCCCCGCTAGTCTTTTCTAGCCTCAGCGCTCGGACCCCCTAGCTCCTCCTAGCCGCAGCACTTGGCCCAAATTGCACTAACTTAATCTAAGGGAAGTTGCCGCTTGGGAAATTTCACATTTGGGAAGTTGCCACTTGGAAAGTCGCAATTGGGAAAAGACATTTAAACTTGAAATGAAGAATCTGGTTCTGATTTATATTTGTCTAGGGAGGATCTGCAGCCCAGGACAGCTTCGAGGTTGCTAAAACCGGAGACTCCAGGATTGGATTTGTCGGGTTTCCGTCCGTAGGTAAATCCACTCTGCTCTCCAACCTTGCTGGAGTATACAGTGAGGTGGCAGCTTACGAGTTCACGACCCTGACAACCGTGCCAGGTTGCATCAAGTACAAGGTAAACATATTTGAACTTTTGAATTATTTGAAAGGGAATAGCTGCGTAATTTTTAGTTATCCTCTATTTAAAAAAGGGGCATGCCCGGTTCAAACCATTAATATTGTTTGCAGATAAACCGCAAATGAAAACAACCAGTTTTATAAAACAAGAACTCGGATATCTAATTTATTTTTGTTCAGACAAAGTATTCAAGGGCACCGCGTGGACCGGATATGCCACTTCATTAACGGAGGATCACTTAAAATTACTTTTTACCAGTGCTTAGGATCCAGATAAAAAATTGCGAAAGTTTTTTTTCTCTTCTAACTCAAATCTGAACTGTTCAGAAAGAGGGTCTATCAAAACTTTTCTTATCGCTTAATGGTTCATCAAGTTAAATTATTAAAATAAGCGAACAAAAAGAAGAAAATTAATTTAGGCATTTTTCTTTTGTTAAAAAAAAATAGAAATAGAAATTTTCATGACCTGGATCCGGATCCATTTTTTCCATTGCAGATCGTGGATCCGGATCCGCATCAAAATTAAATGTTTACTGTCCTATTAATAAATGCCTGATGATTAATTGTGTGTTCTGCAGGGTGCTAAGATCCAGCTTCTCGACTTGCCTGGGATTATTGAAGGAGCTAAGGACGGAAAGGGAAGAGGACGGCAGGTTATTGCTGTGGCTAGGACAGCAAACCTGATCTTTATAGTTCTGGACGTCCTCAAGCCACTGGGACACAAGAAGATCCTTGAACAAGAGCTGGAAGGATTTGGGATCCGTCTTAATAAAACCCCGCCAAACATTATCTTCAAGAAGAAGGACAAGGGAGGGATAAACATGCAGAGCATGGTTCCCCAGTCTGAGCTGGACCTGGAGCTGGTCAAAACTATCCTGGCTGAATATAGGATTCATAATGCAGATATCGTTCTCAGGTAACTACCAAGAACTAATAAAATAAGTCCTATTACTCAATTTCATTTTTGATCACGGAAAAAAAAAAAAATAACTAACATTAAAAATATTTACCAGCACTGTTTTATATAATTACTGTTTGTCGACAGACCTTGCAGTTTAACTCTTGCAGAATAAGAATGATCTAAAACAGTGCTTAGGATCTGGATCCGTTGGATCCGCAAGAGTTTGGCTACCTAGATCCGGATCCGCAAGATTATGCGGATCCACGGATCCGGATCCTATCGGCAAAATATTAACCAAAAATTGCAACAAAAAAAGTATACTCACAAAACCAAACCTGAACTATTGAAAAAAAAGAGATTATAAAAATTTACCGATTTCTGGATGGTTCATTAAGTTTTAGCATAAAAATAAGCGAACCAATATGAGACAAATTTGAAAATTCTGCCTTGCTAAAACAGTTCAGTAAATCTTAAAGAAATGACCTGGATCCGGTTCCAAATTTGGATCCATTTTTCCTAGTGTGGATCCGGATCCGCATCAAAATTAAATAGATTCTAAGCACTGAAGTCTAAAAGTATTTATCTGTAGGTGTGATGCTACCTCGGATGATATAATTGATGTAGTTGAGGGGAACAGTAAATCTTAAAGAAATGACCTGGATCCGGTTCCAAATTTGGATCCATTTTTCCTAGTGTGGATCCGGATCCGCATCAAAATTAAATAGATTCTAAGCACTGAAGTCTAAAAGTATTTATCTGTAGGTGTGATGCTACCTCGGATGATATAATTGATGTAGTTGAGGGGAACAGTAAATCTTAAAGAAATGACCTGGATCCGGTTCCAAATTTGGATCCATTTTTCCTAGTGTGGATCCGGATCCGCATCAAAATTAAATAGATTCTAAGCACTGAAGTCTAAAAGTATTTATCTGTAGGTGTGATGCTACCTCGGATGATATAATTGATGTAGTTGAGGGGAACAGGACCTATATACCTTGTATATATCTTCTTAACAAGATTGATCAGATCAGTATTGAGGAGCTAGGTATGGATTCAAGGGGGTTTAAACTTTATTTCAAGTGACCGACTCTATATATTACGTTGACCAAATCTATAGCTAAAAATTTATAGATATTATTTTAGAATAAACATTGTATGGGATAATTATAAAGGGGTAGCGAATTTTGTAGAATCTAGATAATATAATTGGGTAGCGAATTTTGTAAAATTTAGTGAATATAATTGGGTAGCGAATTTTGTAAAATCTAGAAAATATAAATGGGTAGCGAATTTTGTAAAATCTAGAAAATATAAATGGGTAGCGAATTTTGTAAAATCTAGATAATATTGATATAAAAGAAGAAATAATCTTTAGGTCCATATCTCTTTCCAGATTTAGTAAATTCATCTTGGGTATGATATGTGGGTAGTAGGGTTGAGCATTCCTTTTCCTTACACGGGCAGCCGTAGTACATTTGAATTTCCGAGCTGGGTCAACCTTTCCGGCCGCAGTTTGTACTGTACCTAGCTCTATGGACAGACTAGCCGGTGCAGCAAGGTTGACGCGGTCAGACTTTATGCTTCATATAGGTTAAACTTACTTTTACTAAAGAAGCAGAGGTGCGTGTTTAAAGAAGTCTATTTGTATTTAGATATAATCTGCAAGATTCCTCACACTGTTCCCATCTCTGCTCACCACAAGTGGAATTATGATTCACTTCTAGAGAAAATGTGGGATTATCTCAAGCTTGTCAGGATCTATACTAAACCCAAGGGACAGGTACGCAATCTATAGTGGTCGGCGTTTATATCAATACAATAAAGACGACTTTTCTATTTAAGCTTTGATTTCCAACAAGCTGTGTTCAAATTGATAATTGTTTATTGCCAGCTACTCTTTGTTTCCATGTTAATGTGTATTTATGCTGTTTGATAGCTTGGTAGAAAGTCGTCTTCATTGTATTGATATACATACGACAACGACGACTATAATCTATATATATTTGGTTCAATGCTTAGGATCCATTTCATTCTGATACGGAAAAAAATATTTCTTTAATTTTACTGGTTTTTTTAAACAAGAAGAATTTTCTTCTTGTTTTCAAGCTATAACTTGATGAACCATTCAGAGATAAGGAAATTTGTTATAATCTCGTTTTTGGTTGATTTTTTGCCATATGGATCCGGATCCGTGGATCCGGATTAGGATCTAAGAAACCAAAATATTGCGGATCCAACAGATCCGGATCCTAAGTTCTGATTTGGTTGGTTAAAACGGCTGTACCGAATGGGTTTAATTTTTTGTAATGATTGCTTGTTTCTAGTTACTCTTATTATTAAATTTGGTCGTGTGTCCGACGTTAGGATTTAAACTATGTCAGGCTGAAAAGCCTTCACCTATAGGGGATTGTGATGGCATACCCCTTGTAGGTCAAGGAGCTGTTGGACGCATCCCTAGCTGTATGATATGATATGATATAAATCTAGAAATACAACCTAAAGTATATTTGCTAAAAAAAACTGTTCCCATATTTTCAGCTGGAAAGTGTTTTCTAGTTAATTTTATGATTAAAGGAACTGAGTGTCACAAACTCAAATTTTCTTATCCCTTTATTTTTGAAACTTGATTTTATTAACCTAGAATACTTAAACCAACTTAATTGCTATTATGATTAACAAAGGGCTACGACATTGTGTTGCAAAAATCAGACTTCATGATTAATGATTAATTTTCTTATAAAATCTGTTTTATTTCGAGTTTTTAATATTTCAGCTTCCTGACTACGAGTCCCCTGTAGTTCTTCAGACTGATCATTGCACTGTAGAGGATTTTTGTAACAAGCTGCATAGATCCATCATCAAGGAGCTGAAGTATGCTCTTGTCTGGGGATCCAGGTAGGTCGTCATTTTAACAAATGTTTTTGTATTGTTTACTGTTGACTGTGTTTGTTCATCCTATATATTTATTCACTTGTTTCTATCATGTCAAATCAAAGTAAATCAGACGCGTGAAGAGAGACGTCCTATTACAAAGTCCAAAAAATGGCCAAATGATGTAAAGGCATATTTTATTAAGATTTAAAGTAAAAGGATTTCATTTGGAAAAAAGTTTCCTATAATCTATTTTGCTAATTTTTTCATACGAGTTTTTGTTCATTAGTTACTGCAAACAATTACAATTTATGACTGCAGCAATGTAGCTCTCTGGATCCGGATAAAACAGTGCAAAACATGCAAAAAATATCTTTTTGCATTAAATAAACCTTCCTGAACGGTTTACCAAGTTTCTGCTTAGAAACTCCAAGACAAATGACAAATCTTCTGAAAAAAACGTTCAGAACTATATGAAATAAACCAGCTCCAAGTTCGCATTAAAACGCGATGGATCCTTAAAACTATTAATATATTTGACATGACTAAATTCTCTTTGTTTTAGTGTAAAGCATCAGCCTCAGCGTGTTGGGAAGGATCACATCTTGGATGACGAGGATGTTGTTCAAATTGTCAAAAAAGTTTAATTCAAACTTTAAGAAAATATATTTTTCAACCCTTCTAATTTTTATTTTGTTTTCTCGTACAAATATTAGTAAAGTTATGTATTGAAGTGAATTAGAAGGGCACATTAAACTAGAGAATAGGCAGATGATATATAAGATATCTTATGTTGTTTTCATTTGATGTAATCATAAAGCAATAAGTTACAGCAGTAGCTTGAAAATCAATTTATTAAGTGAAAATTTCTCTATCTAAAGTCATGAAAGTCTTGTTCCTTCTCCACAATTTTATTGATCCCGAGACCGAATTTAAAGACTTTGAGCCGCGGCTTTGAGTTAAGCCGCGGCTCAGGTATGGTTGGTTCCACTTATTATCTTATTCATTGTTTTAAGATTTAAGCTGGCGGTCAATTAAAACTTGTTTTGGCAGATTTGAGACGCGGCTTAAATTCATTAATTCGGACACTTGTATTTAAATTAGTCGTGATCTGGTTCAGGGTTACATTAACACAAATAACAAGATTTTAGCCGACTGCGCCGTTTTAACATAATCAACTTAGATCAATAATTTCGTGTTAAGCTCTTTTATTCGCTTTTACCCTGAGCTGAAAACTTTAGAAGGGGATATCCTTAATCCCAATCGGATATTTAATCTGGAGATTAATAACAAGAGAACAAGCATTATTTAATCTGGAGATTAAGAAAAAGAGGAGATCAAGCATTGATCTCGATATCCATAAAGTTTTCAGCTCTGTATATAAAAAGTCTTCATAACACGTTTTCTTGGTGAAAGTTGTACATGGAACAATTTTTCGAAACCTTGTTCTTTTAACTATATAACACAGAGGAACATGCTGGGTGCTCCAATGTATTTTCGAAACCTTATTCTTTTAACTATATAACACAAAGGAACATGCTGGGTGCTCCAATGTATTTTGAAACCTTATTCTTTTAACTATATAACACAGAGGAACATGTTGGGTGCTCCAATGTATTTTCGAAACCTTGTTCTTTTAACTATATAACACAGAGGAACATGCTGGGTGCTTCAATAAAACACAGAGGAACATGCTGGGGGGTCCAATGTAATTCGAAACCTTATTCTTTTAACTATATAACACAGAGGAACATGGCGGGCGCTCCAATGAATTTGTGGCTTGTGTTGTCTTTTATTTTCCCTGACATTAAATTGATCATTTTGGGTTAAAAACAAGCAATAGACTGAAATTGATTAATGTTATTTTATTAACTTCTTCACGTTGACTGAAAAACAATTATTTTGATAAAACAGTAGACCACAATTATAAATTTTGCCAGAAAACTCGGCTCTGTTTTATTTATCAACTGAAAACGCACGACGCTTATTGTACCGTCAGCTAAATAGATTCACAAAGATACGGCTGTTGAATTAGTGCCCCACAAAACATGCATTTTTGAAATACTGCATAAGCATCATTTGTCAATGTAGTTAAGCATGTAAAATTCTAAAATTAATTATCACGTACGTCAATTATACCGTTAATTAATAAAGTCTTCTTCTTTAAACAAGAACAGAGCTACTTTTGTCATTAATATTTCAAAAATCATACATATAAAATATTAAAATTCATTCGTTTGTCCGGAAACCCCTAACTCTGAAAAAAAAATAAGTTTTTTGACAATATTTATTGAAACGATATGTATTACAAATATAGAAAGTTTTATAAACTGAACGAGTATTTGAAATTTTCATACATTAATATTTTAGATTCCTTAATAAATGCCAAACTGTTTCCGGTTTCCAGTTTTCTTGTTTAATTTAAGGTCCCTTGATTGCAAAATTTAAATTTGTAATACTGACAACAGGTTGGGAAAAAGCGAGTGCAACCGATAAAAGAAATTTACCATAAAATGTTTATTCTCAAATTGTGCAACTGCCAAAAACTAAGGATTAAAAGATGTTCAATAGTAAATGGAAAGCATCCACAAGAAAGATACATTTTACAACATTGACCGAATGATAGATTGATAGATTTTGCCACAAAACATATTGATCTGGTTGGTCCCGCTACAATTCTTATACGAGACTTATTTTCCCATTGGTTTAACCAAAACTTGGAAACCTCCACCGAATGTGACACTGCCCTCCTTCAAAACCTGAAAATTAAGAAAATAAACAAATCATGAAAGATAAACTTTGTATTGCTGCAAGTTCAATATGGATCATAAAAGAACTGCCAGTCTTTTGAAAATTTATCAAAAAAAGTGTTTAAAATATACCTTTTTTAAATGAGAAAATGACTAAATCATGAAATTAAAGGGAGTGTTCGCGAAAATTGAAAGGGGGTATAGGCTTAATGCGATAAAAAAGCGCTTTTGATCGCTACTAATCTTACTTCTATCTGTTGCGTCTATAAGGAGAAAATTGATAAAGACGTCTCATACTGTAGAGCGTAGCGCCCATACAAATTGAGGAAATTGGAACATACGACTTAGACCGTAAAAAATCAATTTAATTTCAAACAAATCATTCAGATATTACAACCTATAGTCATCGATTATCTTTCGCCACATTTGTATATATTTGATATTTCATACTAGTTTTGATTTTGTTTTTTAAAATAATATTTAGCTTACAACTTGTTTTCGAACATTCCTGGAAAATATGAAAATGTCGTCCTCATTACCAAAAATCCTCGAAACAGGAATAAATGTTTTTATAAGTAACTCTCAGATCATAACAATTAAAACATATTATGAAAAATCAACTATATACAAATGTGGCGAAAGATAATCGATGACTATAGGTTGTAATATCTGTATGATTTGTTTGAAATTAAATTGATTTTTTACGGTCTAAGTCGTATGTTGCAATTTTCTCAATTTGTATGGACGACATGTTATTCGGTATGAGACGTCTTTAACAATTTTCTCCTTATAGACGCAACAGATAGAAGTAAGATTACTAGCGATCAAAAGCGCTTTTTTATCGCATTAAGCCTATACCCCCTTTCATTTTTCGCGAACACTCCCTTTAAGTAACCAAGAAAAATACACTTAATCTTGACAAATTTTACATGGCTATTTCAATCTGCTAGTTGTCTGAAAATCTAAAAATTGTCAAGAATAATTGAAGACCCTTTGCATTCTCCTTTAATAATCCACGAAAGCGAAAAAATAAGAAACAAAAAAAATTATTCTGAAAAACATCAAATGTTGCATGTTGAAATCTATTATAAAGTAAGACAAGACATTCGTATATATGTTCCATCTGGCCGGCCAAAGGGCTGGACCGAATGGGCTGAATTTTTTTCTGGACACTTATGAGTGGTCCGAAGGAGACATAGGCTTAAATAAATTCGAAGTTTTTTTTCTTCAAAATTTGTTTTCTATTTTTAAATTTTTTTTATGTGCAACGACGCGCGCTACAGCTTGTTAAAAATAAAATTATAAAAATAACAGAATCGAGTTTATGAATTATGAATTATGAGTTTAAATTATAATCCTATAATCCAGATACTTTGATACTTAAATAATCAAAGTTTAACAAAAGTTTACACAATCAGGTTCCAAAGATATGGGGATTAGTAAACGATCGTTTGAGGCGAGTCAAATCAATTGTATTGAACAACTTCTTTAAAAATATCAGATATCAATTACCTTTTGAGCGATCCCTTTTTCCGCAAAGACGACATATCCGAACTTAACAGGGTTTCCGGTTTCCAGATCTTTAACGGAACTCTGGAAAACATTTAATTAACAAGATGGCGGAATTAATTAATAAGAAAAAATGTATTTGTTCTGTTTGAAGAACCACTTGAACCATCCAGACAAGTAATTAATTAGAAAATCTTAGATTAACGACAACAAACTGAACCGAAAAATTTCAGAAAAGGAAATATTCAGAAAAATTATCATAGCAAAGCCACGATTGAATGATCACCAGTCAACTGCACACATTTCTTAGATTTTCTGTTAAAAAAATATCGTAACTTTTTTTCAAGTTTTAAGTGTTATACTAAATAAATAGAAAATAAACCTACTTTATGAATGAACATGAAGCAAACAGGACCCCTGGATTGGAAAATACTGCGAAGATTATTGTAAATAGCGTCGTGTTCAACAGTTCCAGGGATAGGACCAATCTAGAACAATAAGTTTTGTTAAAAAGTTTCTTTACGTATTAGGTAATTAATTACACAGCTAAATTCTAATGGTGGATTACTCACTAAGGATGAGACTTTTCACTGTCAATATTTTTAAATAAAGTTTCAGAAAGAATTCAATACAAATACAATTGGTTAGTCTCGAGCACCCAATGTGAATATAAGAACATACATATATTTACTAGATAATTAAATTTGCTACTTTTCAGTTCAATTTAAAACTTACTTTACTTAACAATTATATTACAAACAAATTTTTTAAATTAAAAAAATTTTAGCCTGAAAACCTTAATTTCTTCCGTGAAAAAAAGTCAAGGTTTATTATACTATTAAAGGAATTGAGTCTATGAAACAAAATCAAATATTTAAACCTCAATATCTTTAGAACCCGATGTTGTAAACCTTTGATATTTCAAACTCAGATTATTTGATCTAACAGAATTTTTAGTTTGAAATATCTAAGGTCTGCAACATTTGGTTGCAAAGATATGGTGATTAGAAAATCAGAGTTTGTGGCAAAGACTCAATTCCTTTGTAAAAATATTACCATTAGCTGTTGATCTCCAGGATATCGTGGGTCAGGGACAGGATCCTTGGCTTTAAATCTACAAACAAAATTATAAAAACATTTTATTTTGACAAAAAAGAAAATTTATTTTAAAAACTGAAAATGAAGGCATTCTTGAAATCCTCATCTTTATTTTACAATGTCATTACTGGCCGCTTGGTGGTAGCTTTAAATCCTTTATTCCATATGTATCCAATTCCATAACCTTGCTCCAAACCTTGTGTCTTTATCCTTGCTACGAACCCTATATTCTACCTGTATCTATATCCTTGCTCCGAACCCTGTATTCTACCAGTATCTATATCCTTGCTCCGAACCCTGTATTCTACCTGTATCTATATCCTTGCTC